AGAGCAAAGCAAGGGATTGTCATCCGCAACTAATTCCATATGTGACACTTATTAAGCACAATCACCAGAGCATGTCAACTCGAAGAGTGAACTCAAAAAGTTTTTTCAAATTTAATTTTAAAAAACCAATCTCAAATAACTATTGGCCTGGTTCATTTATTTGCAAAAATATTAGCAAACCAAGCTTCCAAACATGAACGAATTCGTGATTATTTTGTTAGAGCTTGACACTATATAATATATAAAAAGAGTGAATTAGGAATCAAATATAGAAAATCCTTCCTATAGTATTAATTTGTTATATATGTCCAAGTTCCAACATATTATTATTATTATTTTTTATTATTGACACAAAATTCAAAAGGGTACTCAAACAATTTTAGAAACATTTTAGAAAGCAGAAGTGAAAAGACATACACGAATTCGTTTAGAGCATATCGTTTAGTAACACAATTTTCAAAAATTACTTGCTAAGTTTCAGTACCTCGGTTAGTGAACCGTACTGTATAGCCGTCAAATTATCGCGCGGCTGGCACGTCAGATGAATTTTATATTTCAATCCAAAAATGCCCTCAACCATATGCACTTGCGTGTCGATATGCAATCTCTCTCTTCCATGAAGGTCCACCTTCTCCACCCTCACACCTACCTTTGTCTCCTCCACCACCGTCCTCACATTCATCGGAACCTCCGCGCATACGCTCTACACCACCGAGTTCCACCCACAGTGGCTGATCAGAAACCCGTTCACACTTTTGAGGTCCAAGACGTGATCAAGTGCCTAGAGATAGACAATTCTCTCCCGTTTTTGCCTATGGTCACTCACACCCCTCTGAGTCCTCTCAAGGTCGAAGCTTAATTGTGTGGTCTCTTGAATCCACAAGCCAAAAACGACGCCGCCGGCGACCTTCTACAGTTGTGTAAGTTTTCACTCCTTTCTCTCTCTAAATCTCTCAATCTATCTCTAGCTTTCTCTCTTATCTCTCAAGATTTTCTCTGATAATTTAGGGTTTATGTTTTCTTCTAAAAGTTTACTCATCAAATCAACTGCATGCTTGTTTATCCATTCAAGTTTTCTTTATTCATTGTTCGATCCATTCAGTTATGTACTTAAGTTGTGTGTGAGAGAGTACTCGTCTTGCAAATGGTGCAACTCAGGAACAACGGAATGGTGTGAGATTAATGAGATTAATGTTGATGTATTTTAGAATCAACTCAATATAGGTTGGATCTTTGGGTTTTTATTTATTTTTATTTAATTTTAACTTGACAAGAAATACACTTACACACTCACTTATCAGAATTGAAACCATTGACCTTCTACACTAAAAAGTGATGAAGTACCATTAGGCTGCAGCCTTGGTGGTGATCTTTGACTTTGTTGAATATAGGATTGGATTGAGTTAGAAAAGTTTGAAGTTGTTGCAAATTTTGTTTCCATAGCTAGGTTTTATTTTTTTTTTTATCAAAGTAAAAGAAATTTTTAATTGATTCATAATATTGTTAAAAATGTACTTTGTTTATCTTCTCATTAATTGTTTATTTCTTTTCTCTTTCATTTATTTCAATGGCTTAGGATGTGGTTTCACAGAATTTTATAATTACTATATATAAAAAATTCAAATCCAATAAAAATTCTAGTGAAATGTGTAGTTTATTCTACTTCAATGAGTGAGAACTTGTACAATTACTATACATAAGAGGAGCTACATGTGTCAATGACATTGCTCCTCACCTCATGACAAGTGAATTGCATGTATTTATTATCACATTGTACCTCTTTCTTATCTTCACAATTCATATGTTTCCAAGTTCTAATATGCTATTTTATTAGACCAAAAGTGCTTGAGTTATTGAATCTACTGCATGCTTGTTTATCCATTCAAATTTTCTTTATTCATTGTTCGATCCATTCAGTTATGTTGTGTGTGAGAGAGTACATGTCTTGCAAATGGTGCAACTCAGGAACAACTGAATGGTGTGAGATTAATGAGATTAATGTTGATGCATTTTAGAATCAACTCAATGTAGGTTGGATCTTTGAGATTTTTTTTTTTTTTTAATTTTTTTTTTTTTTTATATTTAGTTTTACCTTGACAAGAAACAATTTTACACACACCCACTTATGAGAATTGAAACCCTTAGCCTTCTACTCTAGAGTAGAAGGCGAGGAAGTATCACTACACTACAGCACTTGGCAGTGATCTTTGAAATCGTTGAATATAGGATTGGATTGAGTTAGAAAAGTTTGAAGTTGTAGCAAATTTTGTTTCCGTAGTTTTTTTTTTTTTATCAAAGTAAAAGAAATTTTTAAGATTTGATTCATAATATTGTTAAATATTTACTTTGTTTATCTTCTCATTGTTTCTTTCTTTTATCTCAATGCCTTAGGATTTGGTTTCACAGAATTTTATAATAGCTACATATAAAACATTCAAATCCAATAAAAATTCTAGTGAAATGTGTAGTTTATTCTACACCAATGAGTGAGAACTCGTACAATTAATATACATATATAAGAGGAGCTGCATGTGTCAATGCCATTGCTCCTCACCTCATGACAAGTGAATTGCATGTATTTATTATCAGATTGTATACCTCTTTCTTATCTTCACAATTCATAAGTTTTCAATTTCTAATATAGTATTTTATCAGACCAAAAGTGTTTTGAGTTATTGAGTTAGTAGGAAGTTTGGATTCAATTATAATATATTATGTGATTTTCATTAGGGAATTGATATTTGCGCTCCAACAACCTCGTCTCACACTCCAGCTCCTTTTGTTGGTAAAATGAAAATACTAACAAATTGCCTTCTCCTTTGTTTTTGCAACTACGAATTGCCTTTTCGTTTATTTCCTCTTGTGATCTGTTCTCTCTCTTCCTCTTCCAAACCTTGCACCTAAATGTAATGAGATGCATTGAACTCCTAGAATTACTAGGAAATAAATTAACCTAACTATTCAACAATAATGCTTGAAACATTGAACCTACATATCCTGGCAATGACAATTATGACACTGCACTCGGACAGTATGTCGAGTGAACGTTGGAGGAAGCTAATATCCACGGTCAATGATTCGGGCATGTTTTGAAGTTGGGACTTAATTTAACAATGGCTATCAAATACTACAAGATTCCGGCTTATACTGAACCGGAGAAGATCTACTGGACGGCCAAGGCCATGGGTGACAAATTGACAATAGAACCTTAAATAAACGCGTTCAATATTACATGGATACTCAGAGTGTATTTGGGCTTCAATTTTCTGGTTAGGTTTCATTTCTGCATAACCCAGGAGGGGGATTGGGTATTTCGGGTTTGTATCAAAGATCAGATTGCTGATGCTTATATGGACATTATAGTGCATAGTGATGTTCTAGGGTTCTAGTCTACAACATGTATTTTGTGTTCATGGAAAGAGAAGGCAATCATGATCTGTGTCAACTTTTTTTTTATATCTGACACATTAACACACATGCTTTTGGTTATTAGAAAATAAGATCTTCTCATGGAGTAGAGAGGATACCGGGATCTTAAAAACATTTTATTCATAGAAAGGATACGAAGAAGAGAAACAAGACAACACTAATTTGTCTTCATGGTTAGTGGAGAGAGAGAAAGAACTGGTACTAGAGGAGAAAGAGAGAGCACAACAAAGCACAATAGGTGGAAGTTAGAAGTAGAGATGAGAGAGAGAGAATATATCACAGTAGATGGACTTTCATAGTTGATGTACAAGGAAAAAAAGCCACTTCGGTCTTATTAAATTTGGAGCGTGAATAACAGCTCCCTTTCCATTATCTTTTTTTTTTTTCATTTTTCAATTTTTTTTTTTTTTTTTGGAATCCAACCCAACTATTTAATGACAATAGTTGACATTTATTAACGAGAAAAAACTTCTCATAAATATAATCTCTCCAAAAAAGATCCGGACGCTCCACTACTATTCTTTTATAGCTGAAATGATAAATATAACCCTAAATTTTCCATTGAAAATAAAACTCCGTGGTTTTAAATAAATTAAAAGAGTTTTATAGCCGGATAGTAAACTACAAAATATAATATTTCACTCCTTTGAGCTTTCTATTAGCCCTATACCTCTTTGTGTTCCTTTATTTCCTTTTCTTCATAGTCAATGTTGATACATACCTGATGGAGTTTGCTCCTCCTCTCTCTCTCTCTAATTTTCCTTATTTGTTTCAAGTTCATCCCAGTTTTATCTAAACTCTTATCTCTCTTGTATTCCTAATTGATATGGTGTTGCTTTTTATTTGGTTTAATACAATGTTAATTTTTTTAGGGAGATAAAAGTGATTCAGGTGGAGTAGAGAGCGAAAGGAGTAGAGGAGAGGGAGACAAAAGGTGTCGTTGAAGGTTATTTTTGTCATTTTATTTATCAAGAAATATGAATGGAGCGCCTGAGGTACTTTTTGGAGCGCAAATAACACCTCCCTCTTCACTTCCATCACCCGGCCAGTAGATTAAAGGAAGATGCCCAACTCTTTAGCCAAATTAATGTGCTTCAATTCAGTGGTGCTTGAAAGGTGAATCCTTTAAGTGCCTTTTTGTTCAAATTTTAATTCAATTTCAAAAATTAGCAAAACAACCCACCACAATCAATGTTCTTCTGGGTTACCCAATGGATAGCTAGATAATCTTCCACAATTAAGACTATATATAGCCATACAACTCTGCAAGTTCTTCACATTGTTCACTGCCATCTTTTCAGTATTTTATTATATTTGTTCACTTCAATAGGAAATATAATAGAAGTGATGCATTCACTTTGGAGGCATTTTAAGAAAGTGGAAGTGGAGGGAAACGAAGACAGAATTAGCAACTTACCAAGCTGTCTTGTCGGCCATATCCTCTCTTTCCTTCCAACAAAGTATGCTGTGGCAACTAGTGTATTGTCAACAAAATGGAAGGATCTCTGGGCCTCAATCACTAATATGGACTTCGATGATGAGTTGCTACTCAAACCTATAAATCCTCAGACATGTACCAAAAGAAAGCTTCAGTCAGTGGAAATGAGCTTCATAAAGTTTGTCTGCCTCTCATACGCAATATGTCAGAGTTGCGTACATTCCGCCTGAGATGTACTCGCAGTTATGATGTTTCACATCTTAATGTTATGGTTTCGGCTGCACTAGCACGTAATCTGCATGAACTTCATCTTCTCTTCCTAATGGAAGACTATGAAATCTAAGATGAGCTGGCTCGTGAGGTTTTTACTTGTACAAGTCTGGTTGTACTTGAACTTGTTGGTATATTTGTTCTCAATGTCCCTACTTCGGTTTCTCTTCAGAATATCAAAATCCTCTTTGTTAGGGGACCTGAATTTTCGGATGATGAGTCAATTAATGGACTCTTTTCTGGCTGTCCTATGCTTGAAGAGTTGTCCATAAAAGAATGCGAATTAAAAAATATTAGTGTGTTTAACATTTCTTCTACTGCTCTCAAGAGTTTGATTATAGATTGCTGGTCTAAGGGTGGCTACAAGCTTGTACTTCATACACCAAATCTTCAAGATCTTGAGTATGAAGACCGTGTAGCAGAAGGCTATGCATTGAATAAATTAAATGCCTTTGTCAATGCCAACATTAGTTTTCTACGAAGAGACTTCCTGTCCATGATGGTTCTATGGAAGAACTTGTACCAGAATTTGTTAAAGGAATATCGAAAGTTCAGAGGCTCTGTGTATCAAATAATTATTCAATAAAGGTCAGATTGCTGAGCTCTGTTCGTCTATTTCTGATGATTTGTTCTATTTTTCTTTATGCCCAAATGTACTTTTTGGACCATTGGTGGCTTGCTTCAAATTTTTATTGACTTCGTTTTCTTTTTGCATGAAACCCTTCAGTTATGCAGTTCTCCGCTGCCAAAGTTTTTCCATTTAATTTGTTTGGATATTGGTGGTTATGTTGCATGGAATTTGCTACTGGATTTTCTTGAAAGCTCGCCACAATTGGAAACACTAATTTTTATGGTAAATCATTAAAGCTCAATTTGATTAATTTACTTATGCAATTAAATGAGAGTTGTTACAATTTATGTTTCTTTTCTGATAAGGGACTTTTGCAAGATAAATTTGAGGAAAACCAGACATGCAGTTGGTATCCACCTGAGAACATTTCTTCTTGTTTGTTGTTTCACCTCAAACAGATTGAAATAAATTGTTTTAGAGGGAAAAGTGACAAGGTGAAAATGGCAAAGTATTTCTTGAAGAATTCAAAAGTTCTAGAGAAACTGAAGTTTCATGCGTCTTCTTGGACTGATACAAAGTCGGCTGAGATTTGCATAGTACTGATGTCACCCAGGGGCTCTGAGAAATGTCGAGTTGTGATTTCTTGATATTTTCTTTTGAGCTCTATGTTGTATGGTTGGGGGGAAATAGGTGTGATTAACCAACTATGGTCTCTTTTTGTTTCCCTTATTACTTCTGCTTTTAAGTTCAAGTAGTAAAAAAAGACTACAACTAGTCCTATATGGTATATCTGGTGGCATAGGAATCAGGTTCTTCATGAAGGAGTCTCCAATAATGCGGCTAATATCCTCGGACCATTCTTTGAGATATGCTGATATCTGAATGGGGAATTGTTGTTGTTGTTGTTTGTATGTTGTTTGTTGCTGCTTTCTGGAAATGTTTCTTCCAGTGTTTGTTGTATCTTTGAGGAGTCATTCCCTCTATTGTTTGATTAATAAAATTGTCCAGTAAACTGGGCTCTTATGCAGGAAAAAAAAGGACAACTAGTTACTTCTGTTTAATTCATTGGTTATTGTTTAGTAACTATATATTTTAGCATATATCTTTTACCCAAAAAAAAAATCTATGTTCCAGAGGTGCTTCTGGAGTTTCAGCCTTCTATGTCTTCCGCATGTTATGCAAATACTACCTTATGATGAAAGCTTACATTTCATTTTATTTTCATGACCTAGGTTTAAGCTCCCATCTCTCACCTTCACTTTGCTGATGACACTCTTTTCCTATGTGAATCCAATCATTTGCAGCTCATGCTCCTTAAATGTATCTTTGGTTGTTTTGAGGCAGAGTCAGAAAAATTGACATAGAAACCGTAATTCTTAAGGAACTAAGTCACATAATTCTTCTAAACTGATGCGGCTTTCACACTCCGCGCGCTTCTGCTCTCAAGCGCTGTGCTAAAGAGTCCTATTCCCACTCTGTATAACTTTAATTTTGTCGCTTTTGCACTCCTGTTTTCACTCTCACTCCCACTCCACTTTTTGTAACTTAGTTCATGAACTAGTTGATAAAAAAACAGTTCTGTTTTAAAGCAAATGTTGAATGCTAGGGAACTCATTGATCGTTTGCAGCTTGATTTTGGTCAGGTCCACCGGACAGAATTGGCTCTCTAGCTCCAAAGTTGTCGATACTCTTTGGTGGTGCATTACATGCTCCTCATGCTTTGTTCCCCTCCTTTTTGTTCCTTTTGAGCAGCCTTGAAATCGGAGCTTTGTATAATTTTATAGGGTCACAACGTCCCGCCCCGCTTTTCTATTAGGTTTAATTTTAATTTGGAATGTGTACTGTTGCCATTGTAAAATATTTGTGATTTGAATTTTATGTTAAGTTATTATTGATAATGTTTTTTGTGTGGGTTGTATTCTTATACGATTGTGTTTGGGGAAAAAAATAAAAAATAAATAAGGAAAACATTTGCAAGTAAACGAGGCGAGGCGGATGTCCGCTGGATGAGAAAACAAAAACGAGGGCAGGGATGGGAATGGGGTGACAGGCCACCCCGTTTAGACGATTTTGGGCGGGTGCAAGACAAGGTATTTAAAACAGGGATGGGAGCGGGGAGGGTATTCCCGCCCCGCCCCCGTTGCTCCTGTTCTTAAGTTTTGTCCAAATTTTTCTGACTATTCTTAACGTTAATTAATGTATTATTTTCTAAATGCCCAAACTACACTTGACTGAAAAAAAAAAATGACTTGATATAATACCAAATGACCATTTCAACTAAATTTAATTGAACAAAACTACCATTTCTTATATCTACCCTTTTGGATTGTTTTTGCGGAGTTGAAAATAATTTTTTTGTAGATAGTTGAAGACAATTTTTTTTTTTTTTTTTTTTTTTTTTTCCTCCTTAGATCACGTGTATTGGCCCCACAACATGCATACCACTCAAGTTAGGAGTGCAGTTCAAGAGCAGTTCGAGAGCGAAATCTCAAGGACTTACCTCCTGAATCCCCTGCCAACGCTGCAATGCCCCTAGGTATAGTTACTATGCCTTCCTCCCTCGCCCCTGACTCAAACAATGATGAACTTCAATGGCTACTTTCCGTCGTTCAAAGCCACTTGTAACACATCTTGAATGGGAAGCATCATAGAAACAACAAAAAGAGGTTTTCAACACGAAAGATGGTCATCCAGAGGACCAAGCAAAGAAAACCCAGGAAATTGTACGTATTGACCCGGTCCCTTCCTTTTCTGTCTTATTAGGAAAATAGCTCCAGTGAAATGGATCAAATGCGGAACACTGCATGTATCGCTCTACCATACGAAATTCCCAAGACCATTTAAAGTCAAAAGGGGTGAATCCCAAAAGCGGCGGTTAAATCCTATGGTCCCTAAGGGAAGGTCCGAAAGTGAAAGCGAAAAACAGTCCTTAGCCCATAACACCTAATAGGCGCACAGCATCCGCAGATGCTTGTTAAGCAAGAATAGCAAGCGGTAGCGGGACGCTATGGGGGAAGGCCAGGGCGCCCTTTTGTAAAATAATTGTTTGTGGACAACTGAATACAAATTTTGTTTGAACAATGGGTTCTTGATGAATCAAATGCTGAATTATTATTAGCCAATGTGTATTTTTGGTGAATCATACTCCCTCTGTTTCATATTAGTTGTCAATCTTTCCATATTTTGTTATCCTAAAATAATAGTCCCGTTTTGAAAACAAATGCAATACGTTTTGCAACATTTCCAAACTACCCGCACACCTCATCATAATAATTGTTTACAACATATTTCAACCAATAAAATAATATTAAAATCCAATCACTAAAAAACTGATAATTTCAAATTTTGATAAGTAAACTGGGAAAGATATAGTATGAGTTCTTTATTCAATACTTTATTTTGACAACAAATGTGTTAAATTATAAGGTAAATTACACTACACCTCTCCTGAACTATGATCAGATTGTAAGAAATTCCCCACAAGTTAAGTAAAACCTCATGAACTATCATTTTGTTGTAAACCAACAATCAGCCGTTAACAAATAAAATAAAATTACCTTTTAACCCTAAAGTTGAATGACGTCGTTTTGAATCCCATCCAAGTTCAGCTGCTGACATGGCAAGTACAATGTCAATGTCCAATAAAAAAGCAACAGCACATCAACCTTATCACTTATCACAATTGTTTTTTTTTTTTTTCCTACGCCAAACAGTCCCTCCCCCTTCATCTGTTTCAGTGATGTTTTACAAACCTAGATTGCCTCCATCACGCATGCTGATTTTTCTCAGTAGTAAGTTGCCTCTATCACACACCACATCAATAAACCCAAATCATTGATATATGCCGAAACTCAATACCCTGCAATTTTCTGCACATATACCACAAGCATGTATGGTGTCTATATATATATATATATATTGCGATTTACGACCCACAAACCATCTACATCGTCCTCTAAAGCTCTTGCATTTTATGTGTTCATCAATATATTTATGCATATTATATATTTCCTTTTTAATTGGACCAACATGATCTTCCATCACTTCCCAGATCAAACTAGAACCATAAACCCATTTATTTGTCTATCGCATCAAAAGCCTTCCTTTGCGAAACCGCACGCCTCCGTCGGCATTGGCGAATCTTGTTGTGGCGGTACCAAGACCATCTCCATGATTTTTTCGGTGAACTGGCTTAGCTCCGACAAATTCCCCATTTTTTTATGCCTCATTTTGGTCTGATTCTCCTCGAATTTCAACAAAAATAAAAGAAAAAACCAAACTTGTCTATACATACACCTATGCTGAAATGATTATTTTGTATACTAATAAAGTTATTTGAGTCGTTTCTCTTGTTTAGTGATAATTTAATCATTTATAATATATTTCTTATAGGCAGACTTAACTCTGACTAAAGTTTAAGTTAATTTTTATTGAATTGTGCATATAATATGTATAAATCCAAGCATTAAATTTTTATTGAATTGTGCATATAATATGTATAAATCCAACGATTAATTCAACTGTGATTGGAATTTCCTCGATCCAACAGCTCTCCCATCAAGTACAGCACCACATGCGTAACTAATATAACTCTCCCTCAAGTTGTTGATTAAATTGGTGATGTGACATCATAACCACCGTAACTAACTTTACTAAGCATATGGAAGTCAATGAGCAAATATTATCCCACCAGTAACTGGAGAATACACGGCTAGAAAAAAATACTATGTGCACAGCAAAAACAGTGTAGATACTTGAAGTTCTTTTATTTATTTACATTTAGATTAAGTGTAAAAAAATTCACTCATAATACACAAAAATGTGTAATTATCCCACAGTTCTAAATTAACTTTACTTTATCATTTTTAAATAAAAAAAAACCAGGAAAGAGGCAAAATCATAAAATTACCCTTAATGTCATGACAATATTATACTATATCCCTGAGACAAATACACTCTTTAACACCTAAAACACACCCAAACCTTTAGACATCACCAAACACACTCATCCGCCCTCACTTGAATGATCAATCTTCACCCTCTCTTTCATTGAACCCACTCAAGCTCTCTCTAAAGGTCTTTGAGTCCCTCAATTCTATTTGATCTCACTGAATCTTTGCTTCCTTTATATTCATTCAATTATTAATACTAAAAATGAAATTCTTAAAAATGTCTTTTCGTTTAATTTCTTTTTTCTTTTAATACCAAAATCCCGGAAAGAATTACTGATTCGACCTTTGTAATAGTGTAAGTGCTGTACTGATAAGATTTCAAATTTTACCAATTACAGATTGTGAAATTTGAAGCACAACGGACACCAAAAAAAAAAATGGAAAAAATATGGAGAGGTAGAGAGAAAAAAAATATATTCAATCTGAAAAGTCCCTAACAAATCAATTTTAGAGAGAAAAAAATATTTGTGGAGGGAGACTGTTCAAAATTCAGAGAGAAAGATTGTCCCTAACAGAGATATTTTAGAGAGAGAAAAAAAAAATAGAGAGATTATTTAGAGAGAGACTATCGGCAATACATAAAAAAAATTTAGAGAGAAAAATATTTGAGAGAGAGAAATAATATTGCGGCCCCAAAGAGATAATTTAAAGGGATGGAAATAAATTAGAGAGAGATAAATAAAGAGATTTTTAGA